GTTACGCATATGGGTCTTTTTCCGCTCTCCTGCTCCCCACGGTTAGTCCCTTTGGAAGTCCGTGACAGCCAGGATGCCGTTTTGAAGCCTATGCCGTCAGGTCTCTCCTGAATCCACTTGTATGCAGGCTTCAAGGCGTCCATCTTCAATTGCTGAGCCAGGAATAGAGGGTACACCAGGCTTAAATAATAATAGGCAAAATAGTGGTGCACGTAATCAACTAAAATACAGAAGGGTCGGCGCGCTGTTAAGAGGAGGGATGACGATCGTGACAATGGTAGGGAGCATTATTTATAAATCAATGATAATATATCAGCTCTAGTGGTCATGCTTTTATACAACAATAACACTATCTGACATTCAAAAGATACAGAATGTTCATATTCATTAACATTCTTTCATTTCATATTACAAGATTATGATTTAATCCTTACTCTTAAAGCTGACCTTTAGCTCTCTGACCTTTATGAAGTTACTAATAAAAAAGAAATTCTTGATAAAACCTCGAAAAGTTCTTATTTTTTTGTATATGCAAACTGTACAAGTATAAAAACTAAAGCATTCAGAGGAAAAATATATTATTTTTTCAGGCTTAGATGAAGGTACAGGTTTTCATTTCAATTCTATGATAATAATTCTATAATAAAGCTGTATTTTTATAAATATGTTATTTTCTCACTTCTAGCAACAAATGAGGAAGAGTTCATCACCTCATTACAATATGATACAACATAGACATGCTGTGTATTTGGTCATTTCCTAGCCTTTAATTGGAATAGGTCCTTATACTTCCACTACTCATTTTTAGTTTTTATCGTTTTTTTTCAAAACATATTGTATGTCAAAAATAATAACACCAACCATTGTTTGAAATATAGTTTGCAACATACAATGATTCACATGTAAGCATCTGGCTACATAATACCACTAGTGAAAACAAAATGACTAATACAATACCTTTGGAGCCCACTAGACCACCCACAAGCCTGATCTGACAGTCCATGACAAATAGGTTATTTTATTGATGAAGCCAGCATGCCTGCCATCAGGAACAATGGCTGCAGCTAGTGGACTCTGGTGAAATGTGAAATGAAACTTGAATGCACAAAGTTTCATTTTTAATAAAGGAAAGAGTTATGATTTCCCCTTCAATCTTATTGCAGCTGTTTATTCAACAGTCTTGGCCTCAGTCTCAGTGTTTACTCTTCTGTCTCTTAGGTGGTGGGGCAGATAGACAAGTTGACATCAGACTTTGATTTCGACCTCGAACCTGATGACTGGACTGTGGCAACCATGAGCAGCACATCAAGCAGTGAGAGGGGGCTGGGAGATGCTTTTGGCCGTCTGGATTTCCTGAACCCAGATGTGCTCTCTGACAGCTGGGAATTCTGCAGCTTCCTGGAGACTCCTTCCCCAACTACTACTGAGAAGCCAGCGGAGGAGCTAGGTAGCTCTGAACAGGCGTCCTATGCTCAGATGAATGGAGGAATCATTCCCAATGGGCCTGTGATAGTTACACCAGATTCCTCAAGTGAAGAGGCAGTCAGTTCCATACATAGTCACAAGAACTCTCGAACACCAGGGACGAGGGAGAGGGTACGCTTCAGTGATAAAATCCTCTACCACGCTCTTTGCTGTGATGATGACGATGATGAGGAGGAAGAGATAGAAAGCGGGCCGACACCAGAGACGGACAGTGAGCCTAGCCCACCAACAGCCTCACCAACTCCCCCTTCCTCTGGCCAGACTCTCTACAACTGTCACGCCTCTTCCTCAACTGGGGGAGGAGGGGCATCATCAGGAGTATCAGCAGCTGAGAAAAAAGGTCTCAACCCTAGCTCCCGGAAAAAAGTGCTACGAAACAGCAGCACACAGACTGTCGCAGACAAAAGCACCCAAACAGTACTGCCCTATGTCCCAGCAAAACAGAAAACAAAGGACCAGAACTAGAAAAACCATCCAAAAAAGAAAAGAAAAAAGGACTGTGTACTATTTAAAAATAAAATACATAGATAAATAGATTAATACACCAACAAAAATAAATAAATATTATATGAGAAATTTGCTTGACTACCTAACATCATTCTGAGGCTCAGGGAAATAAAGATTACTGTTACAATATTTTACTGAAAGCAAAGAGCAGTTCTTAAAACAGTGCTAAAATCAAGGTGGGTGGAGGTGTCAGACAAAGCTCATTTTGCTGAGGCAAAATACTATGTGCCATTTAGGCAAATACACAGTAAACTCTTTTCACCTCCTTCCAGTATATGTCTGTAGGAAATAATTGCTGTGTGTAGGCTGATGTAGTGGGATCTAGATTTTTATCTAGGAATGTAAATATACTTCAATATAAGGTTCTTTTAATGCCTACCCCCTTTAAGAATGGGGGGGGATTCATATAATTTCATCTGTAAATTCTAATGGATCTGTGCAATAATGTAATTTTTAATATCTCTTATCGTATTTTAGGATCCTATATCTTGGTTGTCTGTTTAATTTGGGAACATATTGATATGTTTTCTTTTTATTCTTAATGCACTCTCTGATGATCTCTATAACACCTATTTTATAAATATATATTTATAATGGATTCATATTTAGATGTCACTAATAATCCCACAACTGATGGCAAAACAACTTTTATATTCAAACCCCCCCCCCCCATTCAGTAGTTTTTTTCCCCTTGAAACAAAGTCTGACAGGGTGTACTTTAAATAAAAATTATGTGAAGGATTCTGTTCTGTACTTCACAGGGGCAAGGGTGACCTTATGGTTTAACTTCCCTTAATTCTTTAATGGTGTCAGTAAAGGGTTCCTTCTTATCATACCTTGTCCTGCAGAGACTAACACATTTCTTACAGATATTTTATCTTGGCAACTTACTTGCATACATTATTTTTGTTTCTGCCAATGTTTCTCAGTAGCATATCTCTGAAGAGGCAAGGTTGTTAGAGGTGATGCAACTTAAGGCAGAGTGCTCATAAACAAAGCAAGGTTTCCAGCTTCCCATTTGTAGGGAGCTCAACTCAATTCAATTGCACAGTATACAGTAAGAACACTACGGTCATCAATTTAGGTGGTGAAAAGGTTTCAAGGGGTCTCTCCACGTATGCACAGCACACTCATCTTGAAGCCCATTAACACATCCACTCAGTCAGGGCTTTCTATATTTAGACTGTGGAAAAAACAATACATTAATGGAAATGGAATGCCTGCCGAAGGGCAAACAGAGAGAAAGCACCACCTAGAGACAGATTGTTCTTAATTAATCCTGTATACACTTGGATAAATCATTGCAATAACATCCTCAGATCACTGCTGACTCATGACAAAGCTACCCTCACAAGAAGATGTTCTATTAAATGCCCCCCAAACATCTTGGTCCAAATATGCTACTGAGCTTTGGTGTGTACCCTTGAAAAACAGAACTAAAACTGATTTCAAGCCACAGAAAACAAGGTTTTTTTTTCCCCAAGATTTAATATTGGTTGAATAAATACATAAAAAGTTTGTTTTCAAAAGAAATTGCTGTGCATTCAAATGTTTGTCAAGAACAATTCTTTTGCAGGACCAGCATAAGTGGACTAATTCCTTTAAACATTTGTCATGGAAATAAAACTACTGGTATGGGTTCTAATCAATTTTTTAAATAGGATAAGAGGGTACAGTGCTGAGCTGATACGGACCCAAGAATATGAAGGTAAGCATTTGGTACTTTATGTTTTAATTTAAGAAATGAAACAAATGTTTATTGCTACAATTTCCTGGGATAATATACTGTTAAATGATAGTAAAATACAGTACAGCTTATTCCCCCTAATAAGCTAGAAGCTGAATAAAATAGAGGTTTATGAGTTTTGTATTTTAATATTAAAAAATAACCATCTTCATTTATTTTTTTCTGTGTCTATAAAACAAATTCTTAATGCATCAGAAAAGTAAATCCCATAGTTTCATAGTTTTGTTAGATATTTCCTAGTGGTAATCATTCATTGACTTGATTGATTGCCATTATGGACTAGTATACTGATAATTGGTTCACCTGCTTGTCATTTATTTTCTACAATGTCCTTAATGTTTTTTTTAAATTAAAGAATTACTTGTCACTTTCTGATATTAGATACTATGTACACTATGTGTGAAAAGGAGCTTTGGCAAGGAATGTAAAAAAGCCAATTGTGTGGGTTTTATTGATAGTCAAAGGTCCATAAATTGAGCAGTTGGAAGACAAGGCCGGGTAGAGCATCACTCAGGATGAGACTAGCTTTTCAGAGTATAGTGTCCTGGAAAAATCTAAAGATCATGTGCCCTGTTTAAAAACTAGGTCAGGGCATAGTTTATGATCAGAGCACAGTCTAAATCTACTTTAGTTCTTTTGTTCAAGTTTATATGGTAGTATTGAAAAAAATGGGTTTTATCCTTTCAAATTAAGCTAAAAATAATCTCAGGTGTTATAAATGTATATATTATTCAAAATAAAAAACAGGTCTGTATTTACCAGTGCACACATATGTATTTTTAAGATATACAGTACATCCTGAAATCTGTGAGACTAGTTTTCCTATGATGCAAACTGCCAATTAGTTTAGATTACTATGAGATAGGGCATTTCCACACCAATAGCAGAAAATTGAACTCCGTGAGCTTGTTTCTAATTTAAAAACAAAAATAAATAAATTCAGGACAAAGTAAAACTATGGGTTAATGTCTAGTTTATCAATTTTCTGATAGACTCAAAGGATTTTGCAGTCCTAAAATAAGCTCAGCTCTCAACATAACATAACTGCACAATGCACTTTAAAAACTTGGATGAGTTTCAAACATAAAAACAAGTGATATTTTGCTTCTTTAGTGCATGTGAAGAGCACCTACTGCACATTCACATTGGTTTCACAGAACAAAGTCTATACAATTAGTCAAACTCTTAACACACTTTATAAATATACTACAGGTATAAATGAAGACATAGCAGTATAGATAAAAAACCTACAAATATTATGATACTTTTTGTGACTTTTAATAAAAAATAATCAATCGTATTAAAATTCTATAAAACTGATGTGTAGCAAATGATTTGTGAATGTTGTAAATTGTATATTAACTATTTTTAAGCATATAATAAAGACCTTTGAGATAGTTGTAAACATAAAAAGTGACCCTGGGTTATGCTGCTACCTGAATGTGATCATGATTCTCCAAGAGGTGCTGCAGAAATGACAATTTCACTATCATGGATGATAAGATAAGATAGGATAAGTTGTCCAGGTCTGCTTAACTCAGAGCAAAATAATGACTCGTGTGACTTGGCTGTCATACAGTATGTAGTCTTGCAATAACTTCAGTGAGAAACACTGTGTTTCTTAATTTGGGGCTAACTTTTCTGTTATATGATGTGAGACCTGTAGTTTATTACAGGTGAATATCTCTAATGGATATGCAAGAAGAGCTACAGTGCTGAGCAAAAGGGTTTGGTTTCTTAAGTACTGTAACTAAAAGGGCTTATACCTATTCAATATTGTTTAAGACACAATGGTATGTGAAGCAAAAAAAATAATAATTAGAGAATACTTTGAGAAGAAATATAGAAAGAGTTTCCAAAAGGTTTAAGAAAAACAAAATTTCAGGAAACAACTAATTGGAGTCATTGCTGTTTAAGGATGTTCACCAGTTACAGAATCTAAGGAATCATATGCTTATACACAAAGATATTTACTTTTGGTTTGCTTTTTTAATTAAATAATCAAGATATAAGTTTAATCAGGGTATCTTTATCTTCTATTAAAACTTTTATGAAGTATAATTGTTTCATGTATAACATATAGGAGACTTTGAGAGTTCACAGACATCTTCTAGGCACTGTACAGTATGTACCCTTCCTCATCATGTGTTCGTAGTAAAAATTAAAATCAGTATTTAAAAAATTGGGCTGAATGAATATCAGGAAAAGATTTTGTTAAATGTTTTACAAATGCTGCGGTTCATAATCATAATAGACAATGAGAACAGCTTAAATTCTGCTGGACTCTTAAGTTGTTGAAGTAGAACAGTTTTTCCACTCCTCACAAACACATTGAACTGCACACATAGTGGCAATAAAGCTTTTTAAGCACCATTTGCAACCAAATATACAAGGCATGTATGTCCCAGTATACTAATGGACTTCTGTTTTGAAAAGGAAAGCTAAGAAACAAAATTAATGTAAAGGACTAACAATTCATATGGCACAGAGTTCAGGGGTAAAAAAAAACAATGCATTACAATCCTTTGAAAATCTTCAAAGGAGCAGTCCTGTCTCTGCTGCATGACTCTACTCATTCAGACAGAAAAAAGGCAATTTTTTTCTGCTGTGGTCAATTGACCTTTTAAATCCCAGTCCCGCAGTCCAATCACATTGCACCCACCACTGACCACTGTATTATAGAAACAATCCATTATGTTGACCCCCCATTACAGAAGAATGGAATTTAATTCATTTCAAATAAATTGTGCTCCAAAGCCCCTCGTCTTGTATACGCCGAAGCAAAGATGTAAAGGCATTTACCAGCATCTGGCCAGCTCCAGTCCAGACGTCAGCTGTTCTTGTTTATTTTTGTGTTTCATTTCAAGTGACAAATCTCCTATTAATATTCTGGTCAACACTAATATTCTTCCTGAGGTAGGAAATACATTTCTTCTGTAATAAGAAAGGCCGGATAATTTTTGGAAGAATGAATCACAGAACACACATTACTCTAAAAAATGTAATTTGCTACAACAATTACATTTAGCACAGGCATTGGACACACAGAGCTCAGTGACAGGGATTGACAATGGTTCCAACCCAAATAATGCACTATGCCTCGTCTGATAAACCAACTGTCTTTGAAGAGAAAGACTGGGAAAGCAAAACATTATTTCTCCATCAATTTCAAGACATTTTATGGTGTACATTTATGCAAGAATACCATGACCTTGTATTTGCTAATGTACATGTTTGCACAGATCTTCTGCAGCTTCACATTAAGGAGACTTTTCACAGGGTTACAAACTTAGTTGGATATGTATTTTAAGTACTACATTTATTTAGGAAGTCTGTGCTCCATAATTAATGATGAGATTAAAACGAGTTTGCCTTGATAAGC